TGTCCCCAGTGCCCTCTGACTGCAGTGACTTTGGAACGTGGACTGTCACCAACGGTGAGCCGTTGGCACTGCAGCCACGTTTGTCAGTGATAGATCTGAGCTGGCATCAAGCATAACAAGCTAGATGAGAACTAAATTTGGCACCTGGCGCTCGGAAGGTTTGCTGGTGCTGGCCTGACTGTTTTAACACAGTGCTTCGGTGGCCACGACTTTCACCCCAGGCTCCCCAAAATCCATTTCTGAAGTAACAGCAGTGTGGAAGAAGCTGAGCAGAGCAACAGCTCTGTCCGAGTTACTTGTGGTCGTTACTCATGGCTGGGAAAAACTTCCCAAGGGCCTGTGGGTGTGAAATGTGAGCGTTGCTATTGCTGAAGCGGGGAACGGGCTTGCTTGGTTTAGGGGTGTCACGCAGGGCTTACCCCCTTGTAATGGCTGTTCCCAAACCCCTCAGTGTCTTCCATCTCCTTGGCAATGTGGCCTTGGTTCTGCCCTAGCCTGGCTTCGTGATCCAAATGAGATTACGCTGCCTTGTAAGAGTGTTTGCCTGTTCCCTTGCGGGCTGCGAGCAGGACCTAGTAGTATCTGTGGTTCAGGCCCAGTCAGGGAACTGGTTTTAGTTTTGCTCGGGATGCTTAGTCCTGAACTGCTTTTGTGGACAAGGCACAAACTGTCTTTGTTCTTGCGGGTGTTCAGCTTAGCCAAAGGCCTACAGTGGCAGAGCTGCAGGCCAGGAAGATCCTGAGGTTTAACGAATACGTGGAAGTAACAGATGCTCAAGACTATGACCGGCGAGCGGATAAGCCATGGACAAAGCTAACACCAGCTGACAAGGTAACAGGGAGTGCCCTGTCCCCAGGCGTGGGGAGGGGAGCTAGAGCAGAAGGGCCTGAGCCAAGGAGACTCGCTCTGTTCCTTTTGCTTCGCCTCTTCATCCTGCCCTCCGCCACCCCACCAAGCACCACCAGTGTCCCTTCGCCCACGTGTGCTGTCCCCAGCCCTGCTTCCTGCCCCCTCCACGGTGACGTGGAGCCCAAGTGGGCATGGTCTGCACGCCAGCGTGGCCTCTGCCTCAGCTTCTGAGTGATGTAAGAGGATGCAAGGTGCGGGGCGTCGGTCAGAGGAGTGCTGTTCCTTGCAGGCTGAGGCAGGCCTAGGCAAGAAGCTGGCAGGGAAGCAATTTGTTCTTGTCTTCCTTGGCCACTTGTGGGGGCTGTCCAGCCCTCAGCATGGAAGAGGTGGGGCAGTTTGAACTCAGCCTAGTGCGAATGGACTGCGAAAGCTGGGGTGGCTGCTGCAATCCGAGTCTCCCGTGGGACTCAGCCCTGCATATCAAAACTGCTCTTAACTCTTCACCACTGAAAGGTGGTACAGATCAGCCCTGAGCAGGGGTGTCGGAGGTACAGCACCTTCTTGCCATGTCTGAGCTCACTTGTGAAGGGAGAGAGGGTAGTAGATGCGTGCCTTAGCAGGAGATAAAAAAGATCTCTCCCTCTTTGTGTAGGCTGCCATCCGGAAGGAGCTGAATGAGTTTAAGAGCTGTGAAATGGAAGTCCACGAGGACAGCAAGCAGTTCACGAGGTGAGTGAGAACACGTTGCCAGCTCAGAGTTCCAGTCTTGTTGGGAGAGCTGTGCTGCAGGGGTAGCGCTGAGAGGCAAAACGTTAAAACCTTAGAAAAATGACCTGTGCCACAGTTGCAGATTTAATGTCCCTTTCTGCCTCGGTGGTGGTGGGTGACGGGAGGAGTAGCAGTCATGAAGTGGGTTGTTCTTCCTTAAACTGGGGCTTCGATCCTGGAAACTCAAAGCGACCAGTGGCTGATCTGAGGTGTATCTGAAACCAGCGCGACCTTGCAGCTGGAGTGTGCTTTTTCTGGGGCTAGAGCCACGTGCAGCAGAAGCCACGGCCACAGAACACCTTGGTAGTTAGCTCGGAAATTATCTGTGAAGTAACCTGTGGATCATGGCCCAAGTGATTCTTTCCCCCCCAACAGTTGCTCTGTGTGGCCAAGATGAGTGTTTGCAGAGCACAAGAGCTTTCTAAGGCAGAGGTGAAATCGTTTGATGTTAACAGCTTCGCTGAGGGCTGAGAGTTCAGAGACAATTCAGTTTACTCTTTTTGGCCATCTGTAGTGCCTCGTTAACCATTTAACCTGAGTTCCAAGGACGATGCTCAGATTTTTCACTTGGCTTTTAGGTACCATCGACCATAATCTTCCAAGAAGGGAGCAAGAGACCCGAGAGGACTGGAAGTTCTCTGCGTCCCTCTCCTAGGCAATACAGCGAGGGTGGAACCTCGGCTCTTCCAAAATTTGCCTTCAAAACATATCCAGAAAAGGGCTTTTGGCCAGGGAAGGGGAATCCTGTCTGAATGTAGCATTTCACTGGAACAAACACGTCTCAAGTGCCATCAGGCTGGAACTGAACACTATACCTCGCGCGGCTCAGCGATACAACTCTGCTCTGGCGCCAGCATCCCTTGCCAGGAGACCATGCACATGTGAATGAACGGTTCGTTCCCCAGCTCCCTTTCTCAGCCCGGACAGGCCCAGTTCTCAGCTGTACATACTCCTTTTGGGGGTGCAACTCCTTCGTTTCCTCCTCCTTACCAAGAGGAAGGGGAAAGAAAAGGCAGCTCTAGTGTTGGAAAGCTGAGGAATGGAGAGTGGATGTGCTAGGAAGCACGTGTGTATATTACCTGTGTACAGAGAACCCTGTGCAGATGCTGACCTGGCAGACAACTGACATGTGACTCGTAATTTTTTTGGTTTTGCTTGCGTCTCTGTCATGTCCTTAATGTCCTGAATCACTACTGACCAACGGTTTGTTGTCCTGGAAGGGAATTGTATAGATATTAACATATGCTGCATCTTTTTGTAAAAAAAAAAAAAAAAACCACAACAGAAAAACACAAATGTATAAAACATTCCCTCCCCACTCTCTCACACTTGCTGTGATGTTAACTGATCTTGTCTTGAGATATCTAAGCTTGTTTAACAAATTACAGAACCAGGAAATGACTGTTGCCTTTTAAAAACTTTTTAATTTGGGGAAGCTGTGAGAGTAGTCAATTCTTTTTATTGTGGCTTCCTCTCAGATGTTTTTTACTCTCCCAAATCAGGGTGAAACTTGCCTTTTCTCATTTTTACAGCTAAACCTACTGGAAACTTGATAATTTCACTGTGTGGGTGGAAGGGAGGGGAAGAAGAGGTTTGAAAAGTGACCTTAAAAAGATATTCTTTCTCTTCTGAGAATGATCTCATTGGTTCTTCCTGAATGTGGGTGTGGGTTGTTTTTTTTTAAATATCTGGTATTGGCCATTGCTGTATCATGCACAAAACCTAACCCATGTGTAGAGATGACACTTAACGTGAAGAAGGGAGTATCGCAGGACGAGGAGGGGTGTGGGAGTGGAGAGAAGGACTTGCCTTGTTCACAGACCTGTCTCCTTTGTTGCTCGGGGTGGGCCTGGCCGTGCTGCCTGTGCCTCCGTGCTGTGCCAACACCCGGGCCGGGGCCCGGCCCCCCTGGCTGCCATCGCCCCAGGGCCATGGCCCGGCCCTGCCCCTAGGAGATGGCGGAGGGGGGCATCTTCTCTCACAGCTTCCCCCTGTACAGTACGCCTGTAGACTAAATCATTGCATTGTATATCAGTCTCCTCATCAACAGATTTTAATTATTGAATAAAAGTATTTTAGGATTTTTTTTTTTTTTAAACTGCGTTTGTGGTCATGTTTTAAATGCCTCAGGCAGGGGAAGAAGGGTTGGGGGGCTGAGGCTCTGCGCCTCCCCAGCAGAGGATGGCGGTGCGTGGCTCTACCTGTGGCTCAGCACCGGGGAAGAAGGGTTGGGGGGCTCAGGCTCTGCCCCTCCCCGGCAGAGG